CAAAGAAATATTTTTTAATCTCTAACTGTTCACATTGCTGCACAGCGCACAACCCTTCTTGGCTTCTCTGTGAAGCTTCTTCAGAGAAAACACCAACAAGAGATAACCATATTTTTTGCCATGTATAATCCACGCTTTTTTGCCCGAATTTTTTAGGGGAAAATAAGGACTTGCATTACACATGGGTAGTACCTGAAATATCTTTTATCTGTTCTTGTGTTTTATGATTATGTATTACATAAAATTTCTAGTACCATAACATGTTTAAAAAATAAATGCTACAATTCCTTTGTAATACAAAAAAAACAAGTATCTAAATATAAAGAAATTAAAAATTGAATTAAAAAATTCAAATGGAAGGTTTTTTCTTCCCCTGAAAGTTTGGACCAAAAATGTGGGTGTGTGTTATACGTGAAAAATATGGCTACGTAGATTTCATTTTCTGGGACGGCCCGTGGGAGGGCGGGGTCGGTCAGTGTGACATCTGCAGGGCAGGCTGGGAAGCCAGGCAAGGGCTGGTGCTGACGCCTGGAGTGCCAAGTGCACGGGCGGCAGGCTGGAAGTGCGGGCGGAATGTGCTGCAGCCTGTTTCAACTCTCAGCAATTGGCGGTGGGAAGAAAAAGGCCACCCCCAACTGTTTTACGTTTTCTTTCAAAACACTTGTGTATAAAAATGTCCTTGAGAAATACTGACTCATATAAACTTGCAAGACTATTAGAGGTTCCCCCGCCTCAAAAAAAATTCTAGTGTTCTTTAACCATTAGCAATCGCAGGCTTCAATTACTCTTTTTCCGCAGCTGCAATTAAACCACAAAGAGCAGCGCCGAGAAGCAGAGGCAGAACGGTTGCCAACAGCAAAAACCAAACCCCAAAACCCCAGCAATTCGGGGGCAGGCAGGAAGGCCACCTTCTGTGCCTCATGGCGCGGGGCCACGGTGCTCAGCCTCCCCGGGGATGAGAAACAGATTTCAGGAAGGCCGCTGGCGTCAGTCTGAATGCGAAAGAGAGACTTCTTTTGTCCTTAGGTGGGTATTCGAAGCCCTGGGTTTAAAGGCCCTGGGTGACCCCCACCTGTCCCGGACGCAGGCCTGCCGGGCGCCTCCGGTCCCGGGTGGCTGGTGAGTGTACCTGCTGTGCGAAAGCAGCAGCAGCCTCGGGTTGCCCGGAGGTGGCCAGCAGCCCGCTGTGCCAGGCCTTCCCTGGCGGCCCCGACCAGCTGTGCGAGGTAGGTCTCTGGACCAGCAGCAGCTGAGGACACATTTTAGAGTAGTGACGGCCTCAGAGGGGCCTTGGGACAGGTGTTTCTGGGGCGGGGGGAGGAGTCCCTGAGCTGTGTGACTCTGTCAGCTGGGGGTGGAGGAGCGGGGACCCCAGTCCTGTGCATCCCAGCTCGTTGCTCCCAACCTGCCAGGACAGTCGGCCTAACATTCAGCAGGCCGTTTCTGAGGACCCACTGTGTGCTCGACACTGTGCTCAAATATTCTAGTGTTCTTTAACCATTAGCAATCGCAGGTATGGTCCTTGCACTCCAGCAGCCATCGGGGAGGCAGGGAAGTCAGCCCCGCAGAGGTCCCTCCAGCCGAGAAAAGTCTGTGTCCTTTCTCCTGCACTCCCTGCCCCCACCAGGCAGCCCCCAGCACAGCGCCAGCACCTACTGGCTCGGCACAGCTACCGACTGAGCAGGGACGTGAACTAAGTACGGGAGCAGCACGGAGGAGGACATAACCAGCTCTGCTGGCAGAGTGGTTCCCGGAGGGGCTTGAGCCAGGTCACAGGCTGCAAGCGCAGACTGGGGGGCACGACGTGGAGAAGGCGTCACGTACAGACGTCTGTACCTGTGCCACCGAGTTGTCTGTTAGGGAATGCAAGGAGGCCCCCATGCCTCGATTGAGGGCTCTGCAGGGGGGACTGTGCAGCCAGAGGAGAGGGGCCGGGGGCTCAGAGCGGCTCGGAGAGTTGTGCCTCCCCAGACGCCTGGACGTCTTCACCAGACTGGTGCTTAGGGAGCGGCTCTGAAGCCCTAAAGAGAGCAGGCCGGGAGGGGGAGGCCAGGAGACCCCCTGCTCCCCGAACACCCCAGCGGACCCCTCGCTCACTCCTCCCCACGAGCCATCTCTGCTTGCACGTCTGTGGGCCCTCCACCGCCTCTGCTTCAGAGCAAATACTCTAAATATCGATTGACTTTTTTTTTTTTAGTTCTATGGTCCTTTCGTCACCCAGTGATGGCACAACTGGGCCCTGAATCCAGGTCGTGTGGTTCTTCCCTTTCTTTTACCTAAAGAGCTCCCACATACCCAGTGGCAGAGCTCTGTGATTAGGTTCAACTCACCTGCCCCAGTGTGCCGTGCCGGCTGAGTGCTAGCCTCCAGCTCACTTTATGGCAAAGGTTTAACCTTCGGAAATGCACTTGGAAACTACAAGATCACTAGCGCTTGTCTTAAGGAGCGCTAGCAAATTCTCACTCTTTCGAGTCTTTGTCTCAAGGGGCTAGGCTTTCTTAGTAGTCCTTCTAGTGTGGATAAGTTTGTCGTCCCTGCTTTGTGAAGTATCTCCTTGACAAATCAGTTTTTAAACGTTTCTGGTTGGTGATGGATATTTTTAAACCTGTATATCTGACCTTCTAGTTTCTCCACCCATGTCTGCAAGAGCTAAACAGACACAGTGGATGTCACAGCTGACAGCAGGCTGGGGAGACACCAGGCCCTGATCCATTCAGGCCTCAGCGGCACCCTGCTGACTGCGGGGGAGATCTGACCTTATCTGCGAAGGGTTCAAAGCCAGTTATTTCCCCCGGCGCTCTCACAGAAGCGGCTGCGGTCCTCCCTCTGCCCTGCCAGCTCTGTACCTGGGGGCTCGGCGCCACTGCAGGCAGCTGCCCGATTTAGCACCATTCCATGGGGCAGCCAGCGGGGGTGCCCGGCAGGGGAGGTCCTGCTTGGGGAGGCCACCCAGAGGCCTCGGGATGGCCCGCAGCTGTCCCATCAGTCCAGGTAGAAGGGCTGTCCTCACAGGCAAAGCAGAGGGGCCCTCTCTGCAGACACCTCCCCCTGTTCCCAGTCACCAACTCTCCCGATGGATGCTGGGATGGCTGGGCGTGACCGGTGAGGCAGCGTCATGTGATAAGCTGCATTCTGAGTTTAGCTCGCCACCACACCCGTGAGCGTGAGCGCGCTTGGGTCCAGCACGAAGAGGAATGGGAGAGGAAGGTGCGTGTGATGTGTGGGTGGGGAGGACCCACTGCCCCCCCCTCCAGCAGGGCTCTCAAGCTTCCACGTGCACAAATCCGGGAGGCTCTTGGAAAATGCTGATTCTTCGGCGCTAGCTCGGGGGCGGGGCCCAGAACTAGCTCCTGGGGTGAGCGCTGGGATGAGCCGACGCTGCCCAGGACGGCACCGGAGTGACGGGCCCTGGCGCAGCGGTCCCCAGCATTGCCACGGAGTCCCGTACCAGGGGGGCTTCTGAGACCCCCGACGCCAGACTGTCCCACCAGTGAAATCAGAGCCTTTGGGGGGGGGGGGGTCGAGTGCGTGATGGGACTCATTGCTGCCACTTTGGAAATGTACCAAAAGCACCTCGCAGCGATCGCTGCCTGGTAGTGTGTCCTTGAAGTGTGCGTGGATTAAGACGCGCAGCCACCTTCGACGTCACCGGCTCTGTTTGGGGGGAACACCATGAATGGTCCCCAGATTTCCCCCAGCCACCAGGGCCCGCCCTGCCAGTGCTGCTGTCACGGAGTCCCCGCTGAAGCGCACACAGACAGTCTCGCTGTTTGCCCTCCGCCGGCGGCCGGTTCTGACCGGCCTGTTCTGACCGCACGGCTGGCTGGCCGGCAGCCTCCCCTCCCCCTCTCCCGTTCTCTCTGCAACCTCCTCGGGCTGGGAGGGGCGCCAACGGGGATGTGGCTGCCTGTTCCACCTTCCGGTGGGGGGCCTCGGGCTGCCAACGCTGGGATCGGCCGGGGCGGCTCTGCTGTCCCGGGCCTGCCGGGGGGTCCGTGCGTTAGGGGGGCTTTCAGAGCTCCCTGCGTGATTCTAACAGGAACTCAGGGACGGGCACCGGGCTGTGAGATCACATGAAGCTTAAACATCGGACATATTTGTCTTTTCTTCAACATTTACAGAACTGACTCTAAAAAACAAAAAGGTCAGACAACAAAACAAACTATCTTCAAGATATACACTTAATGATTTCAAATATACATGTTTACATCTATATTCCCCTCCATCCAATACCTGTGTTTTTGAGGAGGCCCATGGGGAAAATGCAGAGATTCTTGAGCTGGGTTTGGAGTACTCCGTGGATGATGTCAGCATCCACAAAAGGACCGCATTTTGCTGTGTGTGATGTGCGCTTTTTGCCCAAAATTTTTAGGGAAAAATAAGGATGCACGTGATACATGGGTCTAACGAATACATATCGTGGGGTATAATCCACGTATAGTGTTCACGGAATGTGGGTGTGCATTATACACGGCAACACACGGTGACTAGGGCAACGCCGCTGTAGCAAGTGAACCCAGACCTTCGGGTGTTTAACACCAGGAGTTAGGCGCCCATGTACCAGTGTGGCCGGTGAAGAGGCAGCCTTCTATGCGTGGCCACCGTTCCAGGCCGCCAGTCTGTGGCTCCCAGGTGGCCCGGAGGAGGGAGGGGAAGCAGTGGGAGGGGCCCAGGGGAAGTTCCCACCTGCGGGGCAGTGCCGGGTGTGCTTGCACCTCATTGGCCAGAGCTCAGTCCGGTAGCCTCCCCCCGCATGGATTAGTAAACGCAGTCCCAAGCCCTGGCAAGGAGCCCCAAGTCTGTGGAAGAGCCAGGGCTCCGGGCCCCAGCGCATTTGTGTGACCCGTGTCAGGAGTCTCCCGGCAAGGCACGGGTACCTGGAGGCCAGGTGTGAGCCTCGCCCTGGGGAATGCAGACCCCAGGCGCCCTAGGTGCGAGGACCCCTCAGAGGTGGAGTGCTCCGTTAAGGGCATGCGCTCTTTCTGTTCTTTTCTCCACAGATATCGCAAACGGCACCAGTTCAGGGGGGTACCGCCCACCCCCCAGAACCAAAGAAGTCATCATCAATGGCCAGACTGTGAAACTTAAATACTGTTTCACCTGCAAGATTTTCCGGCCCCCTCGTGCTTCTCACTGTAGCCTGTGCGATAACTGCGTAGGTGAGTAGCCGCAGAGCCCGCCTCTGGCCCCGCCCCTGGCCCTGCCTGTGCTTCGGCGCCCGCTGCGGGTGGCGCAGCTGCTTCCCTGCGAACAGACCTGTGCGAACGGGAGTCAGCGCGTGTGTCCCTTGAATGCTTTGAAACCGAACCACTCAGCAACAGTTCATATTTCCATGTCTTTGCCTCCTGCCACGGGTCCCCCTCACCAAGCCTAGCGACGCCAAACTGTTTTTCTCTTTTACACCCTGCGGTGCCCCCTGTCCCAGGGCAGTGCCCCAGGCCCTCTCCCTGAGCTGGTGCACCAGCGTGGGGGTCGCCTGTGTCCTGGGGCCCCCAGGGCAGTGGGCTCGGGAAACCAAACCATTTTCCCCCTAAGTTCCTCCATTGCCCAGTGAGCTGGCTGCGGGTGTCGCCGGCGTGCTTTGCGCGGGTCTCCCAGGGACTCCGGTGGTGCAATGGGGAGCTGGAGGCAGTTGAAGTGAAGGAGAGAAAAGGGGCAGAGGCCAGGAGACCTCCGGACTTACAGTTAGGATTGTCGCTCTTCCCAGAGGCCACCATGACCCCCCTCCCCCGTCTGTCCACTGGCCTTCCCCGGGACGGACCAGGGAAACGGGCAGAGGGAACCCAGTGCAGCCCAGAGGCCCCGGTCGTAGGACTGCCAGGCCACTGCCACCCGGCCCGGGATTTCCACCCCTGACGTGGGTCCCCAGCCCCGTGGGATGAGTTGGCCAGCCCTTCCGGTCGCTCAGACTGGGAGCTGCCAGCCGTACCCGCAGACCGCCTTCTTGGCTGGGCTGGAGCTTCTCAGAGCTGAGGTTGGCAGGAGGCGGCAGGAGGCGGCAGAAGACCCACGGCCTAGGGAGGGCAGTGGGACCCGGGGAAGGCCTCGCGCCCTAGGGAAGCCCTCGCGCCTTCAGCCCCGCAGCCTGCCCCCGGCGAACTGGCCAGGGACGCTCCTTGCGCCTCAGACCCAGCCCGGCCCCCTCCGGAACACGCCGTCGGTCCCTGCACACACTTGTTGAGTCTGTCGGAATGTGTGGTCTCGATTCTCCTCGGGGAAAATAAAACGCTGTAATGTACTTCCTGCTGTGCCCAGCAGTTTTCCCTGTTTTGCCTGAAATTCACTTTACTGTAACTTTAATCATCCACCATTTGCGAGAAAGCCCATGGTTTCCCTATCAAGCCTTGTCCCGGTTGTATGAACCTGCATCAGTTACCTTTAGCCTTTGCCCCGCCCTCCACCCTGAGTGGAACGGCAAGTCTTGCCCGGCAGGAGGCGGCCTGCCGCTGAGTGCCGGGAACTGGGCGCCACTCGGCCTGGGAGCAGACGACCGAATTTGGCCCCCCACCCCCACCCTGTGCCTTGGTTTTTGCTCGTCTCTGCTAGGGGCCCATGACAGCGCCTCCCTCCGGGGGTGGCGGAGAGAGTAGGTGGTTCAGCGCCGGCAAAGCTTTAGAGGGGCGCCTGGTGTGCACTGAGACCCTGAGCGCAGCGGTGACTGTTGTCACCGCCTCTCCCGACATTTCTGATTGGCCTCCCCTGGATGGTTTCTTGATCTCTGTAGCCTTGCGCAGGCAGGATGACCAAAACCGTGCCCGGTGCTCGATGGGAGGGTACATTGGGGTGTCTACCAGGACACGTGACAGCCTCGGTGTGGGTTCTGATGCCCGCCCTGGTGACTCGGGCCCCGTGCGCTTCTTGGGGACACTCCCAAGCCAGAACATCACAGCAGCTTATATAGCTTCAGGGGAACAAGCTTTCGGAATGCTCAGGGCCCTTTCTTGGGGTGTGATTCTGATGGTGCATGTATTGCGTGATGGACTTGTGTGTAAGTTACGCTTTTTCACCCAAAATCGTCTGTTACTTTGCACACCTTCCCCTGGAGTCCAAGGATGTCGTCCGGTTGGCACTTGTCGGTGGGGAGTTGGTAACTGCGAGCCTGAGGTCGCTGGGTGCCTCCTTCTTCTCATCGTTCACGAAATGTGTGTCCGAGACTGTCTCCATCCACCCGCATGCGTGCACTTGTCTCACTCCTCTGATTGTTGTCCAGCGCTTTCTAAAAGGTCGTTAATTCTCTCATTTGCCGCGCCCCCCATCACCCGTAGGTGTACGTGTTCCTTAAAGAACCCAGATGCCCTAGTGTAGAGTCCCCATACCAGCGTCAGAGACGGCCCCGTCACCGGCGCACTTCTCCTGCGGGGTGACTGTCCAAGGTGGCACCCTCTCTCACAGAAACCACCCGCTGAGAAAATACGAGTCCCCGTGTGTAGTGTCCCGGAGCCACTCGGCAACCTTTCGGAGAAGTCCAGGTCACCGTGGCCGTCCAGCACGCCACAGCCAAGCCCGCTGGTGCCCTGTAACCGGGAGGCGCGGGACAGCGGAGGGAAAGGAGGGGAGGGGGGAAGTTTCGGGGTGGGTCCAAGAGGAGGAACACTGGACCGAAAGCCCATGGCCAGCCTCTGCCCCTACGCATCATTTCATGGCCCTAGGAGGACAGGTGAGGGAGTGGCATACAGTTGATCTTAAAATAAAGCTGCTCACAGCACTCCCGGAAAACACCACACAGTGATTGGAAGCCACTCAGCTTTGCTGTCCCAGCTCACTAAGCTACGTGTGTGTTCGGGCCGGTGCTGGGACCCACTAGCAGACCAGCAGACTGGGCCTTCTGCACTTAGGAAATAGAGGGGGAGCGGATGTCTCCCGCCGAGAAGAGTGACTGCCCAGTGTGCCCCTGTGCTATTTTTAGATGGAAAGTTTTTATTGGAAGAATTCTGCTCTTTGCAGCCAGGGGAAACACATACAGTGAGGTGACGAAAGCCGGGGTGGGCGCTGGCGGGTCCCTCCCCTTAACAACAGAGGAATCTGGGCCCGTCCTTCCTGGGCGCGCACAGTGCCCACCCATGTTGAAGGTTGCTTTGCGCTGGGAGAGGAGAGGGGGGAATCGCCGTCTCCCCGGTGGTCCAGAAGCATAGTTTCCTCTGTTGAAGGACGTTTGAAGTGCAAGCAGGGTCTCTGAGGGTCTGTGGTTAGCCGAGGATGAGGAGGAGCCCTCCCGGGGAGCTCGCTCTGGGGCGAACACAGACCCTGTTTGCAGACCCTGGTGACCGGGGACCCGGGTCTAAAGACAAGCAGGCCCTGGCCTGCGTGCGTCCCGGTCCTGTCACTGAAGAAATGGGAACCTGGGCAGGCCACCCCCCCCCACACTGTTCCGGCGGCTGTGAAATGGGGTCGCCCTGGCACTCCCTCCTGGGCGTCCTTCAGGGATTAGGGGAGACAGTGCCCAGGGCAGCTGCCCGCTGAGAGCTCACAGGAAGTGCTTGTTGTTGACGCTGTTGTCGTGGGTAACGGAACACGTGCAGGCCCCCGGACGCTGCCTAGAGCAAGGGTGGCCTTCGCAGGCACGGGCGCCGCCTTGTTTTTCTGGGGCCCGGAGGGTTCAGGTGACCGGGTGCACGGAAGCGACTCTCCTCTCTCTTCCTGCTTTTGTTATCGCTGTGTCCGTCTCCCTAGTTCCCTCTCCGTGCGGTCATCCTGTCGCTTCCGCACCTTCGACACAGAGTGTTGGGGTAGTTTGTTCGGCGCCCGGCTCTGCTCTCCCGGCTCCCGAGGCCCCTCGGGTGGCAAACGCCGAGTCCCCGAAGAGCCTGCAAGCGAGCGAGCCCCGGGAGGACCTCTCACCCTGCCTGTGTGGGAGCACAAGTCCCACCCGAGTCCCTCCTGCTCCCCCGACCAGGGCGATTGATGCTTTCGGAAGTCTGTCTGTTGGTGGGCTCTGGGCCAGTGTCTACCCGCCTACCTCCGACCAGGCAGCGGGCAGCTTGGTCTGGAGGCTAAGAGGGGGTCTCTGGACTCAGCAGCCATCCGGGTCCCAGACTCTGCCTGGTCTGTGGTCTGGGGAGGGGGATGCTCTTCGCACTGCTCTGCTGCCGCGTCTGGAGGGGCTGTGAGGCGGAGGAGGTGGCGCAGGGAGCCTCTGGGGAGCCCTCGGCATTGCCATACTCTTCCGGTGGGGGGGGGGGCAGCTGTCCCGTTGCCTTCTGTCCTCCCCTTCTGCTGTTGTTGGTGTGAATGGCACAGAGACCCCCCACACACACCCTCTGCACAGACAGAGTGTCTATTACTCTTGGCTTCGGAAGAGCTTCACCATCATGTCTAAAAGTCCTTATTGCCCCCTTTCTGTGTAGCTGTGCTCTTTCTCTCCTGGGTGTTTGCGCTGTGCCCTCCCTCTGCCCCTCAGTGCCCCCCAACCGCCCCCCCCACTCTGTCCAGCTGCTTCCTGTGGGAGGTGGGTTCCTGAGCTGGGACTGCAGATATCCTGTGTGTGTGTATGCTGTGCTGTGCGCCCCTGCTGCCCAGGGAGCCGTCCCTGCTTCACAGTCGTAGCAACTGAGATTTGCATCTGAGGTTCACAGTGGCAGCCGCCCTCCATTCTACAGTGTGGGCAGGCCTCTGGAGTTTCCTTGTCACCGTTTGGGTGTGGCAACGGGGCTGTCAATTTCCCACAGGAAAGTCTGTCTTTGGAGGGAGTGCAGTGAACTGGTGTCCATATCCTACCAGGAGCCAGAACACATGGGCCTTTACCGGCCCCCCCCCCAGCCCCGTTTCCAGGGTCTTGGCTTTTCTCTCGCATGTAAGGGGCACCTGGGTGTCAGGCCCTGTGCTGACAGCTGGGTGCGTCAGAATAAAAGACTGTCCCCACGAATCATTCTCTTAAGAGCAGACCAAGGAGAATTCAAGGTAGAGCACATATATTTACCATATTCCATGGGTCAAAGAGAGTAATTGTGGTAAAGACTGCAATTAAAAATTCAGTCATCAACCTATATGCCCCAGATAACACCGCATCAAAATATATAAAGTAAAGTTTTCTGGAAAATGCAATGGTAACCGAACTGTCCCGAAATGATCGTGATCGTGGACAGTAGAAAGAGATGTACTACCATGTGGCCCCGGGTCTAACTCTGAGACTCAGAGAGCTGAGACTGGAGGTGTGGTCGGC